TAAAATATTCGTCCCCAGAAACTATAAAGTAAAATATTAAGAATATGACTATAGTAAACATTTAAGACTATATAGTAATATACATATAAAAAAGGTAAAGGACAAGTAATGAAACAGGAAAGTGTTCTTCACACATCTGAAAAAAGGTTAATAGTTTCTTTTTTAGGGAAAAAAATTCTACAACCTTTAATCGATAAATGGAAAAAGAACACCAAAAAGTCATTTAAAGCTTTTTTAAAAAATAGAAATAGGCAAGAAATATACAAATACAGATTTAGTTTCAACAAACAATAAAGTAACAATTAAATCCCACATCATTGTCATAATCGGGTTAATAAGTATTAAAAATAATGGTCATATCAAGTATTGGTGACTGTGATAGGAACTGGGTATTCCTAGACCCTTTTTCTTCATCTTTTTAAAGCAGTCCCTTTAGCATATTTTGCAGTGCTGGTTTGGTGGAGGAGTATTCTTGGAGCCTTGGTTTGTCTGGGAAACTCCTTGTTTTGCCTTCCATGTTAAAATGGAAGAGCAGCCTTGGTTGCAGGCCTTTGCTTTTCATCGCATGGAATATTTCTTGCGATTCCCTTCTGGCTTGCAGTGTTTCTGTGGAGAAGTCTACTGCTGGCTACACCAGGGCTCCCTCATATGTTACTACCTGTTTCTCCCTTGCTGCCTTCAGGAGTCTCCGTTTGTTTTTGCTATTTGCCATTTTAATGATGATGTGTCTTGGAGTGGTCCTCATTGGGTTCCTCTTGATAGGGACCCTCTGTGCTTCCTGGACTTGTGTGACTTTGTCTCTCCTCCAATTAGGGAAGTTTTCCATCATTACTTTCTCCAACAGGTTCTCTATCCCTTCCTCATCCTCTTCTCCTTCTGGGATCCCTGTTATACGGGATCCCAGATATTACTACGCTTCAGGGTTTTCTGCATTTCCCTAAATGTCTCTTCACCCTTTTTGAGTCTCTTTTCATTTTTTTTTGCTCTTTCAGGAGCGATTTTCTACCTTATCCTTGAGATCGCTGATTTGTTCCTGTGCTTCATCTGCCCTGCTTTAGATTCCTTCTACTGTGTTCTTCAATTCAGAAATCGTATTCTTCATTTCGTCTTGTCTCTTATTGATAGTTCCTATGTCCTTTTTCATGCTGATACAGTTTGCAGTAATTTCCTGTTAGTTTCCTTATAGTTTCTGATAATTTTCTGTGAGCTGACTGAGCTCATTGAGCTTCGTTAGAACTGTTGTTTTGAATTCAATATGTGATAGTTTACTGGCCTCTATTTCATTCAGTTCGCTCTCCGGGGCTTCCTCCTTTCCCTTCGATGGGCGGGGGGGGGGGTGTTTCTTAGTCTTCCCATGATTTGTGAGACTCCTCTTTTTCACTTCTGCTTCTTAAATTGATCTGTCTTGATTTCCTGACTTTGTGGTGTGAACTTCTATTGTAGGAGACCACTGTTTTTCTTTCTGGATCTGCCTCTGAAGATGTCAGATGTCGACCCTGTGTGACCTTAGGCAGCCTGTTCAAGACTTCCAGGAATCTACTGTCTGTGGCTGTCTCCTTCAGCTGTTGTTAATTGAGTCACTCTGCACTCAGCAGGCTGGCTTAAACACCAAGGGCGGAGCAGAGTCCCTACTGGTGGTGGGATTATTGGGTCCTCTCATGCTGCTGCTGCTCGGGGGAGTGGTCCGCCTGAGCCAGATAGCTGCTGCCATATGGGGAATGAGTCAGCACCGGGATCCCGCCGGCTACTCTCTCAGTTCTCTCCCCAAAGCTTCCCTATCCAGTCTCTCCTCAAGTGTCTGTAGACCACCTTGCACCCCGTTTGGCCAGGGATCTACTCTCTGTGGCTGCCACTCTGCACTCAGCAGTCAGGATTTAGCACCACCGGGCCAGGGTCAAGTCACTCCTGGGGCCAGGACTCTCGCTTCCTCTCACGCCGTTGCCACTCAGGGGAGTGGTCTGTGCCCAAGGAAGATGGCTGCTGCTGTATGGGGGATGAGTCAGCACCAGGAACCTGCTGGCTACTGTCTCAGTTCTCTCTCCAACGCCTCCTTCCCCAGTCTCTCCTCAGGCATCTCTAGCCCACTCTGCCCCCGCCTTTGCGAGAGACCAGGGTAAGTGGCTTCAAACAAAAATTTATTCGTTGGCCCTTTAAACAGCTCTTTGTGTCTCCAGCTGCCTATGTCCGGCAGAGAGCAACCCTGCCGCTTTTCACAGCTGGCTGTTTTCTGTGTTGTTTTTGGGCTCTGGTGCTGGAGGCTAGAGATCGCCACTTTTGGTTTAGACCCTGCTCTTCTCAGGGGAATCCAACTGGCCGTTTTAATATTCTCTGGTGCTGCGGGCCGTAGGTGCCCCGTCCCCCTCTCCTGAGTCTCGACTGCATTCCTGACCAGTTAGATTGTACTACTGCTGATTCCTCTGTCTCCGAGGTTTTAAGGCTCCTCTCTCACTCTTGTTCGGTTGTTTGTTCCAGGTGATTTCTCCACAATTTAGTTGTAATTCCAGGTTGGTCCTGGGAGGAGGCCAGTGTGCATTCCACTCACTCCTCTGCCATCTTCTATGAAAGCTGATGCTCTTTGACCAACATCTCTCCTTTTCCTACACTCACTGTGGTAACCACATTCCACTCTTCTTTTCTACTCATTTGACTTTTAGAGATTCATGATATATGTGAAGTTATGCAGTATTGACCTTTCTCTGTGCCATCTGGCTGGGTTACCAAAAGGTGCTCAAGCTCCATTCATGTTCTCTCAAATGGCAGGAATTTCCTTTTTCTATTCCCTTATCTTTAGTGTTGACACTATTACAGACGTCCACGTTTCCACCTAGCTGCCCACCTCGACCCAGCCCCAGGCCCCTTCCCTCTGGCCATCAGCACAAGTTGTCTGTGTGTGTGGGTTATGCACATATGTCCTTTGGCTGATCCCTTCACCTTCCTCCAACCTGTCCCACCCGCCCCCTCCCCTCTGACAACGGTCCGTTTGTCCATGTGTCCATGCCTCTGTTACCAGATAAAAAGAGCACAAAGAAAGAAAAATTTAAGCTTATGTCCCTGATGAGCATAGATGCTTAAATCCTCAGAAAATATTAGCACACCAGATTCAGCAATGCATTAAAAAAATTCGCACCATACTCAAGTGGGCTGTATTCTGGAGATGCACGGTGGGCCCAATATCCACGCGTCGATAAACATGCTCACCATCAGTACAAAATGAAGGGTTCACAGCGTTCTGCTCTGATCTCTTTAAAGCCTGTACAAGGTATCCTGCTCGTGCTGTTTCACCTTTCATGTTAGTAATATGTGTGTTCTTCCATATTATCTTGCCCTTTCAAGCTAAGATATTTTATTGTTATTCTATCACAGTTGCCCCAGTTTTTCCCCCTTTGACCTCCTGTGCCCGTTCCATCCACCTCTCCCACAGTGTGATCAATGCTTTCAAAAGCGAATTGTTTACTTAGTTTCTTTCTCTCTATTTTTAATTGTCTTGAAGAGTAACTTCTGTCATTGTCAGTGCATTCCTTGCACCTTCACGTAGGAAAATTTGCTATTCTTTTACAATTATTTTGAGGCATTAAAACTATCATTTTGTAAAGATTTTTAAATTGGTATTCTATTACAAAGAACGATCATTTGTATATCATTACTCTTTGTACTACAGGGTTTATTTGTTTTTGAATTCACTTCATTGTGGTGACATTGGTTTACAAAGTTATATAGGTTTCAGGGGTACGGTAGTATAATACATCATCCATATACTATATTGTGTGTTCCCCACCCCAAGTTAAGTCTCCTCCCACCACCTTTTCTCCTCCTTTTACTCTCTTCTACACACCCCTGATCCCCTCTCCCCCTGTAATCACCAAACCATTGCTTGTATGTATGAGTTGTTTTTTCTTTGCTTCATCCTTTACCTTTTTAAGCCCAGCCCGTGCCGCCTCCCCTCTGACAGCTCTCAGTCTGCTTTCTCTATCCCTGAGTCTGTTTCTCTTTTGTTTGCAGGTTTATTTTGTTCATTAGGATCCATACATACAAAAAATCGTATGGTATTTGTGTTTCTGTGACTGGCATATTTCACTGTGGCATACTTTTCAGCCATAAAAATGAAAAGATGTTTCCTTTTGTTACAGCATGGATGGATCCGGAGAATACAAATTATTTTAAATTGAATACTTTTTTTAAAATCTAAAGGACAGGCCATATTATATTAGCTGCAGGTGTGCAGCACTGACCTCCTATTTGGGAATCTCAGGATGTGCTCCCCACACTAACTCCAGGACCTGTGTGTCTCATGCAAAGTTATAACTCAGGATTGAATATCTCCCTCTTTCCACCGACCCCTTCACCACCTCTCCTTGGGCAACCATTCGATCTTCTTCGTGTCTCTAGGTCTGCTCTTGTTCTGTTTGTTTTAATGATTTTAAATATTCCACATATAAGCAAAATCTTTCTCCGTGTGAACGGTGCCACTCAGCATAATAAGCTCTAGGTCCATTCAGGTGGTCACAAATGGAGGGAGTGCATTCCAGTTTTTGATAGATTTTCATTGCATTGTACATACATGCCACATCTTTCTATCCTGCCATTTGTGGTTCTAAAGATCCCATGCAATCATTTTCTAAATTCTTTACATAATGCTTAAGCCATTGATTCTTAAAGGCTTTTTAGTTCCCAATATATTCATTCATTGTTTTCATTTTTCTCACTTCACAGGTTTGATGTGCAATATATACATGAATATTTAATCTAAAGCATTCATTTCTCTTTTGGTTCACAACTGATTATTGAGAAGTCTGTTTGCATTGTTTCCATAATGTGGGGATATCGATGATCATTGGCTATAGATTTAGGGGACCACAGAGGGTCCTAAGTGCTACAGGGAATCCATGTCAGGTCACGAGTCTGTCTGGGGTCAAGCTGAATGTCCTTGGGGGTATCTCCTGTGCCTTTGGGGGCCCTTGCAGGCCCTTTCTCTGGAGTGTGAGGTCTGGGCACTTCCTGGGCTAGTGGACGGCCAGAGCAGCATACACACTGGGCTCAGCTGGGGGCTTCTCTGATGGGGAGGAAGGGGGTGGACTCGTATCCCGTCTGAAGGTCAGGTTGGTCAGCTGGGCATAGGTCACCTCCTGGGGGGCAGCAGGTGCAGCAACCTGGAGCAGGGGGACAGTGAGAGGGTGAGACATGTGACTGGGGCTGGGGAAGCCTGGGGCCCAGAGAGGGTGGGCCCCATCTGACTGTCAGTCTGTCAGTCTCTTTCTGCTTGTCGGCCCTTCTTGTCCCACAATCTCCATGATGAAGAAGGAGAGGAGGCCATTCCCTGCCTGAGCCTCAAGCTTGAGTGGGTCAGCTGGGCATAGATCAATCCTTGGGGGTCATCATGGGGCCTATTCTGCTGCAAAGAGACAGTGAAACAGGAACAGGTCTCCTTGATCCCACTGTTGAATCCTCCCATCAAGCATCCACATGGTGTTAGGGTGAGGGTTTAAATTTCAGGTCATATGAGGTCACTGTCTTGATGGAATCTGTGGGGGATTCTTGAGTCTTGGGGCATCTGGGGCATCTACGGTTCTGACTTATAAGCTAACCCACTGTTTCTACTCATCTGGCTCCACCTCCACGGCCCATCTGGCAGAAGCACATGTCCTGCCTCAGGACCTTTGTAACTGCTTTTTGCTCCCTCCCCTCACCACGCACTCCACCCCCTGCTCTTGCTTTTTTCTCCTTCACAGCAGGTGGCCCTGAAGGATGCTGGCCTGTGTGCAGGTGTCTCCCTCACAGACAGGTGGGCTGGACAAGTGTGGGGAAAGGTTGCTCAGGGCTGCACCGCATCCCCTACATGGAGCCGGTGCCCAGGGAGCTCCTGTCATGGCGGCTGCGTGACTGAGTGAAGGGGCCCTGGGGCCTCGGGTGAGTCACTCATTCGTGCCTCCTCGTGAGACATGGGGCTGCCCAAGGTTAGACAGGGGACAAAGGGCCAGCACAAGGACCTCCCAGGAGGGGCCATGAGGTTATAGAAAAGAGGGAGTGAGTCACAGCAGGACGACGTGGTGCCCAGAAGGAGAGGTCAGTGTGGACGCTGCTGAGAACCAGGGGAGGAGAGGACAGGGAAGGGATCATTGGAGTGAACTGGGCAACAGGAAGGACCTTGGAGGCCTGCACTGGAGCAGGAGTCTCACCTGAGGGTCCAGTTCCATGCCCTCCCCTGGCTGTGGGCCCATCACAACAGCATCTGGGGAGGCAGAACGGGGTGTGTCTCCTGACAGGGTCCTCGTGATCCCTGGGTTGGAGACCCACCTGTCCCTGATGAGCCACTCACCGAGGTGAGGTGAGGGGCCATATCAGACAGTGTGGATTTCAGTACCTCTCACCCCTGACCCCGCACCCTCCCAGGGTGTCCCCTTCCTCATGGCCTCTTCAAATCACTGTGTCCCCTCCCCCAAGACAGCTGTCCCTCCCTTTCACAGAGGGGCCCCTCCGGGGTGTGTGCTGCGGGGCTGGTGGACAGAGAGTCTCAGTCCTGGGAGGGCAGGGACACGTCCCTGTGAGATTCCAGAGGGAGAAGGAAAGTTGAACACCTGCTTGGACCTATGTTTCATATTTTAGGAGATTGAAAATCAAAAATGACCTAAATTTATTCCTACATCTGTGCTGACATTGTTTTTTCCTACATTTTCTGATTTGAGATTCTGGAGAAATCTGTTGCTCAACTGACCTTCTCTAACTTTTTGTTTATCCTGTCCCAGCTCGCTGAGCCCCTCTCTCCTGTGGCCCCGGTCACCCCGTCCCCTACTCACCTGACGTCCTGTCTTTGCTCCGATGCCAGTGTCGGAGGAAGAGGAAGAAGAGAAGGGAGAGCAGCAGGATGAGGGCCACCGAGACCCCAGTGAGGAAACCTGGGTGACCTTCGGATGGAGTGACATCATGAATTAACCAAGGTGCCATTTAATGGGCACCTACTGTATGTGAGGCATGTGCTGGGGCCTGTGGTTCATCTCCTCTAACCTCGCAGCCTCCTGCACCAGGGATCGCTGACCCACCTCCCAGTCCCCGGGGGCTCAGAGAGGTGAGCCGCATCCCCCAGGGCCCCCAGCCTGGCCGGGGAGGGGCAGGGCCTGGACTCTGGATGTGGGTTCCCAGTGCTGCCCTCAGGGTGACCCCAGCAGCGAGCTCTGTGCTCCTCCTCTGCAGGGGCCTGTCCTGTCTCAGCTGGAGCTGAGGGTCCTTCGTTATGACCTGCCCCCAAGCCCAGCAGGGACACGGGAGGGGCAGGGATGTGGGTGAACATTGACACCACATTGGGAAGGTTAGGCAGGGGATCTGTCTTCCTGAGCTTGCGCTACCTTATGCTACCTAATCTCACCACAGGCCGGTGAGCCAGAGGGCAGCAGACAGGAACCTTATACTCAGAGCAGAGAAGGGACCCCGAGCTCCACAGTGGGAGCAACAGAGCAGGACCCTGAATTGGGACCCATGAGCTCCCCAGAGACCCTCACTTACTGCTCTGCTCTTCGGAATCTCTGCTGGAGCCTCCTTGATCCTCTGAGCTTCCTGGAAGTTTCGGATGGGGGTGAGGAGTCAGGCTGCCTTCTCCCCACTTGAGTCCAGCTATCCCTCCCCCAGGCTAGACCCCAGCATGTCCCTCTGCCACTACCATCCCTCCATCACAGGCCAGCCTCCGTGCCCTGGGATGCTGCGGTTCCAGCATCTCTGCTTGACTCCCAGCCCCTGGGACACACGCCTACTCCTGAGTGTCTGTGGAACACGTGCCCCCAGAATGGACCCTCAGAACTTCCCTGGGCTGCTCTGTGCTCCCTCTGAGCACGGTTCTCAGGGACTCAACCGCTGTGGAGACAGATGCTGTGGTAGAGGGGCTGAGGCCTCCAGAAGGTCCTGGGAATGAGGACAGAGTGGGTGAGGGTTTCTGGGCCTAACACTGGAGTGAACAGATCAAGCAGACTCTTCTCCTGCACCTGCTCTGTGGCCTGAAAGACACTCCCCCTTCCCGCCTATCACCTTCCTAACCCAGGGGATGGGGAGGGGCGGGCAGGGCTGGGAGGGTCTCTGGGGTAAGGTCTCTGCTGGGTTACCATCACTTAGAGCCTCTCATTCTTCATCCAACCTCAGATGTCTGCAGGGGACAGGACCCTGAGCCGACTGAGCTCAGAACAAATGGGGTCAGAGGCCACTCACCTGAGACCAGGAGCTCCAGGCGGTCACTGGGGTGAGACCACTCCACGGGGTGCTTCCTAAAATATCCATAGCATCTGAACATCCACCTGTGGCTGGGGGTCACGGGGCCCACAAGGAACAGGACCTGGGACTGCCCACTGGGGTGAGGCTGTGAGTCCAGGGTCCAGGAGGGCCCGCTTTCCCCTTCCTTAATCAGAGTAAACCTGTCCACTCCTTCCAGTGAGGCACACTGGAGGGTCACGTATCCTCCTGAGGTCACGACATGGCTGGGTAGGGCTGAGAGGCTGGGTTTGCCATAGAATCCTTGGAGAGAAGGAGGCAGCAAGGTAGACGGAGTCAACCTCCCGCACATCTCCTGAGTTGGGGTATGAAGGGAGGAACTCTGAGAGCATCCCTCTTCCTGAGGGCTGAGCCTGAGGCTGGGACCCCCCTCACCTGTCAGCACCAGCTCCAAGGAGTCACTGAGCTCTGACCAGCCAGTGGGGCTGCGGTATTTACAATAATATCTCCCTGCAGAGGGGTCTCTCATGGAGAAGTTGGCCTTGTCCATTGTCGCCACTGGTTTCTGTCTGTTCGAGAATTTATCCACATCTTTGTTCCACAGACAGTACTCCTGAGCCTCCAGGGACCCCTGACACCAGATGGTGACAGAGCTGTCTGAAGGGACCACCGGCCCTGGCTCAGCCCAGATGGTGGGTCTGGGGAGGGTCCCTGGAAGAAATCAGAGGCTGCATTAGAAAGCCCTTCCCCTCCCACATCCTCCAGCTCAGCCCTTGTCCCCCTTCTTTTATCCCCTCATCCCAGGACCTCTTTGCCGCCTCCTGAGCCCCAGGGGTGAAGTGGGAGGTGGAGAGGGGCCCTGCGCAGGACTCACCATTCTGCTCGTGGGTTTCCTGGCCCAGACTCAGCCCTGGAAGAGAATCCGTGTCAGGTTTGCACACAGATGTTGGAGCCGATTCCCTTTTCTTAGAGCCTCGACCCCTTGAGCTCCTGAGACCGGTGTTCCCCATGAACAAGCACGTACAGCTGCCCCATCTCCTGCTGCCCCGTCCCCATGTCCTCACAACTGACCGAGGCAGAGAAGAGCAGGGAGGATGGACATCGTGCCGTCTGCCCTGAGTGTCCCCACACTGCATGTGGATGAGACCCAGGCCTGAAGGACAGAGACGCGCAGGATGTGGTGAGTCAGGGGCGGCCACTGCCCTTCCGCCTTCCGATCTCCGCGACCCACAGCAAGGGGACGGCCCCACCCTGGGCTCTGGGTTTTTCCATGACGAGGGCTCAGGAGGACTCCTCATCCTCTGGAGACGCTCAGCCCCGACCTGGGGTCTCTTCTCACCCCTGTGACCTTCTGTCTGCTCTGTGCTCCTTCTCAGAATGGGCGGACCCAGGCTGTGATCCTCAGCTGACCACCAATAGACTTATTCTAAACAGACTTTGCTACATTTTTCTCAGGTTCCCACTAACGGAATTTACTTCCATATCTGACTTGTCCATAAACAAATATTTACTGGTCACCTAGTGCAGCCAAATACCTGTACCAGAAACGAATACACCCATGATTCAGGAGTCTGATTCTCTGTATCCTCAGAGCTCCTTTGTAGCAGAGAGTGAACATTCTAAGTCTAAAGTGGAATTGACTTTTCTTACAAAGGAGAAATGTGAAAAATATGAGAACACCTGGGACCATGCCTACACTGTGGGTGAAGGAACAGCTGTTTTTGCGTTTATCCTCATGGAAGGATATATTTATTGATTTTATAGAAAGAGGAAGGGAGAGACAGGCAGACTGACACTGAAGAGAGAGAAAAACACTGATTGGTCACCTCTCCTATGTGTCCGGACTGGGCCGGAAGCTGAGAAACTTTTTTGGAGCGTATTTGGTGACACTCCAAGCTAAGTAAGACCCCAACCAGAGCTGAGGGAAGGGCTGTTTAATGAGGTGAAACCCGAGGAGGAGGGAGTGAGAAGTGAAAGGAAAAAAATAGAGGGAACTCTAGTGACAGAGACTGACTGATAGCGGTGGGGGAGGGTGAGTTGGTGGCTGGTCATGGGCAGGGTCACCCCTCGCAAGGACATTGGAGTAAGTCTGTGAGGCAAAGGCGTATGCAGGAATGGATGGTCCCAATCAGACCGAGTTATGAATGTCATATGGGCTGTGTATTACAAAGGAACTAGAGCAATACAATATGTGTACATCATATATAATGTCAACACTAATTGAACTGCAATCCTGCGTGTCCAAGAATATTAGGTCAAAGGCTTACAAGGATTTACCACGTATAATGCATTATTTTTAGCTGTCACATCACATGTACAGAAGAGAAAGGAGGAGAAGAAATCTCAGTGTTACTTCTGGTCCTGGGCTTTCAGCGGGAAAGTAGGGAAGGAATTTGCTACTTCTCTACAACTCTAAGACAGCAGATATGGCAGAGAACAGAAATGATCAATGAATGGCGTGAATGAGTCTGTAGGTGTGTGTAACTGTGTATGTGTGTGAGTTTAAGTGTGGGAATGGTTGTGTGAGTGTGGGAGGGTGTGTGTGATTGTGTGGGTGTGTACGTCTGTAGGAGTATGTGTGACTACGTGTATGTGCGTGTATGTATCTATGAGGTATATGTGTCAGTCTGTGAGTAAGTGTATGTGTGCATCAGTGTTTGAGATTGAGTGTGTGAGTGGCTGTGTGTTCACAGGTAACTACCCCTGCTGGTGGGTGACAGCAGAAGGGCGAGCTGACGGTGGAGGGTCCCATGTGGATGATCATGAATAGCCATCAGTGCTGAAGAGAGTCTAAATTGACCCTAAAATGAGTGAGAACCATGGAAGGATTTTGAGCAGAAATGGAGAGATTCCTAAAGACGGTTGGGAAGACTGGGTGGAGGGTGGCTGGGAGAAGAGACAAAGGGTGCGGGACTCAGAACCCAGCAGAAGGTGCAGCAGAAGGTGGCTGCTGCCTTGGTAACATGAAGGGTGACCTTCCCTCCCTGCCTTGTTGACTAGAGACCCAAGAAGCCATCATGACAATGAGCAAGGGGACAGTGGTTGGACCAGCCCGAGAGTGTGTGCAAACACTCTGTTCCCCAAGGAGAGCTCAGTGCTTCCTTTTGGCCCTGGAATGCAGGGTCCATGTCTCACACTGTTTCCACCCAACTCTGTGTCTCTGAGAGAAGTCGGCTGTTTCTCTCTCCCTCTCCTTGGGGTGAATCATTTGAGTCATTTCTCCCTCCATAGAGCAGTTTCAATGTTGAGAGTCACGCTTGTATTTGACCTGTGGAGACTCTTGAGGAGTCAGGAAAAATGGAGACTCACGGGAGTTCCGTTAGAGACAGAAAAATACCCCCCACACTTGAAATATCAGTTGCTGCAATACCACATCCTGAATGAGGGAAAGGAAATCAGTCATTGAGATGTAGATGAACGGAGGAAGTTTCAGAAAGTGAATAGCAGAGATACCCTGCCCGATGGAGCAGAGGGAAGGCAGTGCAGAGTCACGTGATCATGACAGAGACGCCTGGAGTGCACAGGGCTGACCCTGTTCCTCAAGTCACTGGTGCAGGGCCAGCTGCGGGGGGGGGAGGTATGGACCAAACTGAACTTGACCCCTGCTTTACCCCATACGCAAAAACAATGCGAGATGGATGACAGACTGAAGAGTTAGCCAGTCAGTTTTTCTTAACACAAATGTAAAAAATACTCATTGTTTGTGGTAAGCTTTTCTAAAATGATTTTTAAATTGCCATTCTATTACGTTGTCCCATTTCCCCCCTTTGCTCTCCCCTGCCCATCACACCCCCGCTCTCACAGTCCATCTCCACTCTGCAGCGCGTGTCTATGCATAATGCACACGTGTTCTTTCACTAGTCCCTTCCCCTTTCATCCACTATCGTCTCTCCTCGCCCTCCTCTCTGGTCTCTGTCGTTCTGTGCCAGGGTTTCATGCCTGTGGTTTGATCATCTTCATTGGTTCATTTTGTTCATCATATTCCTCCTATAGGTGAGATCAGGTGGTATTTGTCTTTCACCGACTGGCTTATTTCACTTAGCATAAGATTCTCCAGTTCCATCCATGATGGGAAAGGTAGGAGTTCCTTCTTTCTTTCTGCTGCATAGTATTCTATTGTGTAAAGGTTCCACAGATTTTATCCCGCTGATTTCCTGGTGGGCACGTGGGCTGTTTCCAGATCGTGGTTATTGTAAATAGTGCTGTCATTAACATAGAGGCGCGGAATTTCGTTTGAATTGTTGATTTGGGATTCTTAGAGTGCAGCGTCAAGGGGGAGGGCGAAAGGGTAGCAGTTGGAACACGTATAGTGAGGGATTAACATTAAAGAAGTAAAGTTATCAAACTCTCCCCCCCCCCACACACAGAACCCTTACAGAAGAGACACATCTCAGTTTGCTCTGGAGAAGGTGAGCTGTCCAAGACCCAGTTCTGAATTCTCCATAACCTCTCGGGTTTCACATACAAAATAGGACAGACTCAGGGGAGATGGGGCTGGCCGATGGTTTTGAGGGAAGCCTCCCAGATACACGTGCCCAGTCCCGCTCAAGGCTGGACTCGGTCTGGGTCAGCACGACGTCTGGACAGTAGATGAGCTGTCCTGACTTGGGGATCCTGTGGTGACTATTGTGTATTTGCTTTGCAACATCAGGTTGTGCTGTGCTCACATAAGGGAAAAGGGATAAACGACTCAGTGGACATGTTTGTAGCAGACCTTTTGATGACTTGTTTTTCAGTTTTTAAAATGAAGCTCATGAGCCAAAGTGACAGGAAGTGGTGGGCAGTGTCCCCACACCACGGTCTGTTCAGGGCACAAGGTGCCTGTCACACAGGAAGAGGACCAGCTGCTCCTCACTCTAAAAATAGCAGGTTCTGAGGGTTCACTGGCTGAGCCACATCTAACTAAACACCCCCATGTCTCAAGTGTCACATTTATTGTTCCTAAACTCTCCAATCACATATTGATTTACCATAGCTTGCTGCCATTTGAAATCGACGATCAGTTACACAGTTTATGACATTCAGTGTTCTTTGGCCAAACTTATATATAAAAGGTAGTTAATGATAGAAAACTATTTTCAGAAGAAATATGAAATTTGTCTCCCACCTAAGCTTTTATTAATGGTTTAGTACCACTTGCATATTTTTTACTCTCATGACAAAGAGAAAGCTGTTAACTGGCCAGTTTAGTTCTGCATTTTTAGAAGAGAAGAAAACGTGCAAAACTTGTTTTTTGCTGAAATCATGTGCTGTGTGTGAGTGAAAACCCAGTCCCCGTGAGTAGGGGCAAAGGGGGAAGAGGGAGAAGAAAAGAAAGGAAGGGAGGTAAGGGGAAAACTTGGTAAAGCTGTTATAACAAATTACAACTAACTGCACTGTTTCAGACAACAGATTTATTTTTTTATTGTTTCAGTACTGGAATCCAGAGAGAAAATTCACAGATGGAGATATATAAATGAAGAGATAGATAGGTAGATAAATAGGTAGAGAGATAGAAAGAGAGAGACTGACTCACAGAAACACTGACACACAGTTGATAAATGGATATATATGTGGATAGACTGAAAAACTCTCCAAAATTTGCTGTCATCAGAACACTTTACATTTTTTTACGCTATGTAAGTTATTCTTAAATCAAGGATGCAGACAATCTTTCTGTTTTATTTTGATATAACTGACAGAACATTGTATACGTGTAAAGTGTACAGTAGTTTGATAGGATACATGTATACATTGCAAAATGGTACTACCTCAGCTTAGGTGACAATACTATTTAAAAGTCACATAACGGCCACATTTTTTATTGAGTGAGAGTATTTCAGATAGAATCTCATAGCCTTTTTCCAGTATATAACACAGTCTTGTTAACTGTATCATTATGCTGTATGTTAGATTCACATAAAATAGGCATCTCATAACAGAAAGTTGAGATTCTCTCTCCTTTCTCCACAGTCTCCATGGTAACCAGCATTCCACTCTCTGTTTCTACACACCTGGCTCTCCCAGATTCCACATATATGAGAGATCATTATTTGTTTTTCTCTGTGTGACCTGGCAGGGTTAACAAAATGCTCTAAGTTCTATTCATTTTGTCTTAAGTGTGAGGATTTTTTCTTCATTCTTCTGGTTGAGACCATTACAGATGTGTCCCTTTCCCCCCCTTCTTTGCCTCCTCCCCCAGCCCTCACGCCCTTCCCTCTGGCCATCACCGCACCGTCGTCTGTGTCTAAGCATCACGCATATATGCTCTTTGGCTGGTCCCTTCCCCTGCCTTTATCCGACCCCCTCCTCCCTCCCCTCTGACAGCTGTCCATTCTGTTCCATGTGTCCATGCCTCCGTTCACATATTTGGCTCCTTTATGGTGGTTCAACACTATTCCACTTTATATATATTCAAATCTGGAAGCAATTTCACAGATCATGTCATTAAAAAAGGAATACTTTTCAAGGTGGCAGCCCCCTAGGCTATCCCTTCAAACACGAAGCGATGCCAGTTCTGGGGAAATGGTACACATGTCATCCGATGGAGACTGGAAGGATTGTGGGGTGCTAGACTGGGTGGTAGGCATCTGTTTGGACTTGTCTTTCCTGGGTCACAGCGATGTTTCCCCATGTATTGGTTGAGTGATTCCGGGTTAAGTCTTGTGAACCGAGGAGATGAAGACTCAATAATGTCCATCTGGTCATGTCGTAATTGGAAATAAAGAACACTTTATGACATGAGCCATGGAAGAGAACATGAGGTTGTAGATGTGCGGACCCAAACGAGCCCTGTGGGATGGATCCTCCTTTCATAGGGGTGAATAAAGAATGGGGGTCATTGCACAAAGTCGGCAAAGATAAAGGGAGAGAAAAGTGGGCATTTAATGGAGGAGGAGCCCTGCACAGGGAGCACTCAGGCACTCCCTGCACCCAGACCTCATTTACTCCCCTTGACATTGTCAGCAGACAGTTCCCCACCTGTGGTCAGACTGTCCTTCACCACCTCCTGGGCCATCTGATGGGCTCCACGGCTCCCCCACTCTGAAAAGTGCCCCTCTGTGTTGGTGTCCTGGCGGCATCGTGGGCCCTCCTCTCGCTGACTCGTGTAACCCTGAAGCAGCAGCACCCCGAGGACCACCAGCACCCCCAGCCACGCCCATGCCGAAGAAAACCTCCACTGTGTGGTCTGGGGGGAGGTTCAGAAATGTGGGAAAAGAGATGACAGAGGCCAGAGAAGACAGAGTCACCCCACCATCCATGGTGTCCACCCTGGACACCTTTCTCCCTCTGGCAGGACATGACCTCCCCTCTGCACCCAGCCCATTAACTGAGCGTTTCTGCTACTCCCCAGTCTTAGGGTTGGACTTCTTTTCTGATGGGCTGAGGTCGGCTCTCTGGAGAGTAATGAAATGAGGGTGTGATTGAGGTCCTGGGGAGACAGGAGACTTTCTCGTGGGGTATAGGGTCTCCAATTCCTCACTATTCAGATCAAAACTTCTATATGGTCCCTTCATGAGCCCTGTCTCTACTCTGCCAGGTACCCTATCTCCTCCTTCAATTATCTCAGCCTCTAGGTCTCTGAACCTGCGCAGGCCACTTTGGACAAGAGTTAACTGTGCCCCTGAGCTCAGGATTAGTAACAAAGTGGTCGCAATATAGAAATGTTTCAGTGCTGTGCTCTGTGCTCTGTCTGAGAGGCAAACCCCACGCTTATTCAGCTCTAGCTGAGCTCCCACTAAGTCAACAGCTGATGATCTCGGATACATGGAGGGTTTGCAGTCAGGGTTTACTGAGCACCCTCTTCTGTGGAGACCTCCCAACTCCCCCATTTATAACTCCCTTGGACTCTGAAGAGACAGAGCCCTGAAATGAGTGAGCACAGACAGAGCAGGCTATATGTCGGCTCACCTGAGGCCAGGAGCTCCAGGGTTCCCCACAGCCATGGGGAGGTGCTGTGTGAGTTCTAGCACCTGTGGATGTCCCCCATGGGGAGAGGTCACAAGACTCCTGAGGAACTGGGCAAGGGGGGAATGCTCTGACTCTTTCATGGTCAAAGGAAAGTATCCCTCAGGTTCCATGCCGGGCACAGCAGGGTCACATGCTCTCCTTATGCCACCACGTGGCCTGGCTGGACCGAGGTGGAGTCTGTCATGGAGCCATTCTAGAAAGAAGGACGTTGGGTGGGATGGGGCTCTGCCTTCCTGAGCTCTGTGAGGCCCCTGAAGTGACTGATGTCACCACAAGCCTGTGAACAGGAGGGGGCCAGACAGGAACTTCATACTCAGAGCAGAGAAGTGACCCTGAGCTCCACAGTGAGAGCCACAGAGGCGGGACCTGAACTGGGACCCATGAGCTCCCCAGAGACCCTCACTTACAGGTCTGCTCTCCGGAATGTCTGCTGGAGCCTCCTTGATCCTCTGAGCTTCCTGGTAATTGCAGATGGGGGTGAGGGGTCAGGCTGCCTTCTCCCCACTTGAGTCCAGCTGTCCCTCCCCCAGCCATGGCCCCAACATGTCCCTCTGTCTCCACCATCCCTCCATCACCGGCCAGCCTCCGTGCCCTGGAATGCTGCAGTTCCAGCATCTCTGCCTGACTCCCAGGCCCTGGGACACATCCCTACCCCAGAGTGTCTGGGGGACACGTGACCCCCTGATGGACCCTCAAAACGTCCTGGGCTGCTCTGTGCTCCCTCTGAGCAGAGTTCACAGGGACTCACCGGCTGTGGAGACAGACCCTGTGGGTGGGGGACAGAGGCCTCCAGAGGGTCCTGGGAATGAGGACAGAGTGGGTGAGGGTGTGGGAATAACCCTGGGGTCATCATATCACCCAGACTCTTCTACTCCATCTGCTCTGTGGCCCCCAAGACACTCCCCCTTCTCCCCTTCCACCTTCCCAACTGGGGCGGGCAGGGCTGGGAGGGTCTCTGGGGTAAGGTCTCTGCTGGGATACCATCACTCACAGCTCCTCATTCTTCAACCAACCTCAGATGTCTGCAGGGGACAGGACCCTGAGCCGACTGTGCTCAGAACAAATGGGGTCAGAGGCCACTCACCTGAGACCAGGAGCTCCAGGCGGTCACTGGGGTGAGACCACTCCACGGGGTGCTTCCTAAAATATCCATAGCATCTGAACGTCCACCTGTGGCTGGGGGTCAAGGGGCCCACAAGAAACAGGACCTGGGACTGCCCACTGGGGTCAGGCTGTGAGTCCAGGGTCCAGGAGTGCTCGCTTTCCCCTTCCTTAATCAGAGCAAACCTGTCCACTCCTTCCAGTGAGGCACACTGGAGGGTCACGTTTCCTCCTGAGGTCACGACAGGGCTGGGCAGGGCTGAGAGGCTGGGTTTGCCATAGAATCCTTGGAGAGAAGGAGGCAGCGAGGTAGAAGTGGTCAACCTCCCGCACGTCCCCTAGGATGGGCTGTAAAGGGGAAGCACCCTGGGAACATCCCCCTTCCTGAGGGCCGAGCCTGAGGCTGGGACCCCCTCACCTGTCAGCACCAGCTCCAAGGAGTCACTGAGCTCTGACCAGCCAGTGGGGCTGCGGTATTTACAATAATATCTCCCTGCATAGGGGTCTTCCATGGAGAAGTTGGCCTTGTCCGTCGTCGCCACTGGTTTCTGTCTGTTCCAGAATATATCCATATCTTTGTTCCACAGACAGTACTCCTGAGCCTCCAGGGACCCCTGACACCAGATGGTGACAGAGCTTTCTGAAGGGACCACCGGCCCTGGCTCAGCCCAGATGGTGGGTCTGGGGAGGGTCCCTGGAAGAAATCAGAGGCTGCATTAGAAAGCCCTTCCCCTCCCGCATCCCCCAGCTCAGCCCTTGTCTCCCCAATTTATCCCCTCATCCCAGGATATCTTGTTCCCTCCTGAGCCGCAGGATGAAGTAGGAGGTGGGACAGGGGGTCTGGGGAGGACTCACCATTCTGCTCGAGTGTTTCCTGGCCCAGACTCAGCCCTGGAATAGAATCTCTGTCTGGTTTGCACACAGATTTTGGAGCCAATTCCCTTTTCTTAGAGCCTCCACCCCTTTAGCTACTGAGACTGGTGTTCCCCATGAACAAGAATGTGCCACTGCCCCATCTCCCGCTACCCCGTCCCCATGTCCTCACAACTGACCGAGGCAGAAAAGAGCAAGGAGGATGGACATCATCCTGTCTGCTCTGAGTGTCCCCACACTGCAGGTGGATGAGACCCTGGCCTGAGGGACAGAGACGCGCAGGATGTGGTGAGTCAGGGGCTGCTGTCGCCCTCCTGGCTTCCCATCTCTGTGGACCCACAGCAAGGGGACGGCCCCGCCCTGGGCTCTGGGTTTCTCCGTGACGAGGGCTCAGGAGGACTCCTCATCCTCTGGAGACGCTCCGCCCAGATCTGGGGCCTCTTCTCACCCCCGTGACCCTCTGTCTGCTCTGTGCTCCTTCTCAGAATGGGCGGACGCAGGCTGCCATCCTCAGCTGACCACCAATAGACTTATTCTAAATAGACTTTGCTACTTTTTTCTCAGGTTCCCACTAACGGAATTTACTTCCATATCTGACTCGTCCGTAAACAAATATTTATGGTCTCCTAGTGCAGTCAAATACTCGTGCCAGAAACGAATACACTCATAATTCAGGAGTCGGATTCTCTGTATCCTCAGAGCTCCTTTGTAGCACAAAGTGAACATTCTAAGTCTAAAGTGGAAATGACTTTACTTACACAGGAGAAATGAGAAAAAATATGAGAACACCTGGGACCATGACTACGCTGTGGGTGAAGGAACAGCTGTTTTTTTTGACCGTTTATCCTCATGTAAAGATATATTTATTGATTTTATAGAAAGAGGAAGGGAGAGACAGGCAGATTGACACTGATGAGAGAGAAAAACATTGATTGCTCACCTCTCCTATGTGTCCGGACTGGGCACGAGGTGAGCTCACAACTTTTCTTGGAGCGTATTTGGTGACACTCCAAGCTAAGTAAGACCCCAAGCCAGGGCTGAGGGAAGGGCTGTTTAATGAGGTGAAACCCGAGGAGGAGGGAGTGAGAATGAAAGGAAAAAAAAAGAGGGAACCCTAGTGACAGAGACTGGCTGATAGCACTGAGGCAGGGTGAGTTGGTGGCTGGTCAAAGGCAGGTTCACCCCGCGCAAGGACGTAGGATTAAATCTGTGAGGCAAAGGCATATGCAGGAATGGATGGCCACAATCAGACCGAGTTATGAATCTCATATGGGCTGTGTATTACAAAGGAACTAGAGCAATACAATATGTGTAAATCAAACATAATGTCAGCACTAATTGAACTCCAATCCCATGTGTCCGAGAATATTAGATCAAAGGCTTACAAGGATTTACCATGTATCATGCATGGTTTTTAGCTGTCACATCACATGTACAGAAGAGAAGGAGGAGAAGAAATCCCAGTTTTACTTCTGGTCCTGGGCTTTTAGCGGGAAAGTAGGGAAGGAATTTGCTACTTCTGTATAACCCTGAGAAGCAGATACGGAGGAGAATAGAAATGATCAATGGGAAATGGAGTGAATGTGTCTGTAGGTGTGTGTAACTGCGTATGTGTGTGAGTGTATATGTGGGAGTGGTTGTGTGAGTGTGTGTGAGGGTGTGTGTGGTTGTGTGGGTATGTATGTCTGCAGGAGTATGTGTGACTACGTGTATGCGCGTGAGTGTATCTATGAGGTATATGGGTCAGTCTGTGAGTAAGTGTATGTGTGCATCAGTGTTTGAGATTGAGTGTGTGAGTGACTGTGTGTTCACAGGTAACTACCCCTGCTGGTGGGTGACAGCAGAAGGGACAGCTGATGGTGTAGGGTCCCATGTGGATGATCATAAATAACCATTAGTTCAGAACTAAAATGAATGACCCTAAAATGAGTGAGAACCATGGAAGGATTTTGAGCAGAAATGGAGAGATTCCTGAAGACGGTTGGGAAGACTGAGTGGAGGGTGTCTGGGAGAAGAGACAAAGGGTGCAGGACTAAGAACCCAGCAGAAGGTGCAGCAGAAGGTGGCTGCTGCCTTGGTAACATGAAGGGTGACCTTCGCTCCCTGCCTTGATGACTAGGGACCCAAGAAGCCATCATGACGATGAGCAAGGGGACGGGGGTGGGACGAGCCCGAGAGTGTGTGCAAACACTCTGCTCCCCAAGGAGAGCTCAGTGCTTCCTTTTGGCCCTGGAACGTAGGGTCCATGTCTCACACTGTGTCCACCCAACTCTGTGTGTCTGAGAGAAGTGGGCTGTTTCTCAATCCCTCTCCTTGGGGTGAAACATTTGAGTCATTTCTCCCTCCACAGAGCACTTTTGATGTTGAGTGTCAAGAACTTATTTGACCTGTGGAGACTCTTGAGGAGTCAGGAAAAATGGAGACTCACGGGAGTTCCGTTAGAGACAGAAAAATACCCACCACACTTGAAATATCAGTTGCTGCAATACCACATCCCGAATGGCTGAAGGACCCTTGAACAGCCTGCTTCCTCCGTTGCTCTCACTTCCTCCATTTGTAGCCCAGTGGTACCAACCCCACGTCCCCCCCCGCCCCCCGCAACAAGTGGGCTCAGAATTTACACTGCCGGAGGTATGAGGGAAAGGAAATCAGTCATTGAGATGTAGATGAAGACGGAGGAAGTTTCAGAAAGTGAAAAGCAGAGATACCTTGCCTGATGGAGCAGAGGGAAGGCAGTGCAGAGTCACGTGATCATGACAGAGACGCCTGGAGTGCAGAGGGCTGACCCTGTTCCACACGTCACCGGTGCAGGGCCAGCTGGGGGGGTGTCTATGGACCAAACTGAACTTGACCCCTGCTTTACCCCATATGCAAAAAAATGCAAGATGGATGACAGACTGAAGAGTTAGCCAGTTAGTTTTTCTTTACACAAAGGTAAAAAATACTCATTGTTTGTGGTAAGCTTTCCTAAAATAATTTTTAAATTGCCATTCTATTACGTTGTCCCATTTCCCCCTTTGCTCTCCCCTGCCCATCACACCCCCTGCTCTCACAGTCCATCCCCACTCTGCAGTGCGTGTCTATGCGTCATGCACACGTGTTCTTTCACTAGTCCCTTCCCCTTTCATCCACTATCGTCCCTCCTCGCCCTCCTCTCTCGTCTCTGTCGTTCTGTGCCAGGGTTTCATGCCTGTAGTTTGATCATCTTCATTAGTTCATTTTGTTCATCGTCGACTGTGTTCTATAGACCAGTGGAACAGAATAGAAAGCCCAGAAATAAGCCCAGGTGTATATGAGCATCTAATATTTGACAAAGGGGGCAGAAGCATAAAATGGAGCAATAACAGCCTCTTCAACAAATGGTGTTGGGAGAGCTGGGCAGCTACATGCAAAAAATTGAAATTGGGTCATCAGCTGACACCATACACAAAAATAAACTCAAGATGGATAAAAGGCTTAAATATAAGTCGCAACACCATCAAAGTCCTAGAGGAGAACATTGGCAGGAAACTCTCAGATATCCCACACAGCAATTTTTTCACTGATATATCTCCTAAAGTAAGGGACATAAAGGAAAGAATAAACAAGTGGGACCTCATCAAAATAAGAAGCTTCTGCACGGCAAAAGAAAACATCGGCAAAATGAAAAGGGAGCCAACTCTGGGAAAATATATTTGCTAACGATATATCAGATAGAGGTTTGGTCTGCAAGATATATAAAGAACTCACATGACTCCACTCCAAGAAGAAAAACGATCCAATCAAAAAATGGGCAAAGGACCTGGGCAGATGCTTTTCCAAGGAGGAGATACAGAGGGCCCAGAGGCATTTGAAAGGATGCTCAGCATCACTAGCCATCAGAGAAATTCAAATCAAAACCACAATGAGGTACCATCTCACACCGGTCAGAATGGCCATCATAAACAGATCCACAAACAACAGGTGCTGGCGAGGGTGTGGAGAAAAGGGAACACTAGTACTCTGTTGGTGGGAATGCAGACTGGTGCAGCCATTGTGGAAAGCAGTGTGGAATTTCCTCAAAAAGCTGAAAATGGAACTGCCTTTTGATCCAGTGATTCCCCTGCTGGGACTATACCCTAAGAATCCCAAAACGCCAATTCAAAAGAACCTATGCACCCCAATGTTCATAGAAGCACAATTTACAATAGCCAAGTGTTGGAAGCAACCTAAATTCCCATCAGTAGATGACTGGATCAAAAAATTATGGTACATTTACACCATGGAATACTACGCAGCAGAAAGAAAAAAAGAACTACTAAACTTCGCGACAGCATGGATGGAACTCGAAAGCATTATGCTAAGCGAAATAAACCAGGGAGCGAAAGACAAATACCATATGATCTCACCTATAAGTGGAACCTAACCAACAATACAAAGATGCAAGGAAAATAAGACCAGCAACACTGAAAGGAAAAGAAACCAACAGAGACAAGAGGGAAGGAGGGAGCAGGGGCGGGGGGAAAAGGAAGGGAAGGGGAAAGTCAAGGAACATATAGCAAGGACTCATGGACAAAACCAGAGGGGAAGAGTTGAGGGAGAGAGGGAGGGATGGAGGGAGGGAGGGGGCAAGGGAAAGTGGTGGGGGGTAGGCAGAGACAAATGTATTTGAAAAAGTAAATTAATTAATTAAAAAATAAAATAAAATAAATAAGGCTTATTCAACAAATAAGATGCATGGACCACTACTACTTGGAATAAAACAAATATAGAGCCCTATTTCATACATGATACAAGAAATGTTCAGGTGAGTTAAAAATCAATATGTAGAATCTAAGGAGTTGTAGGAGATAATACAAACTATTATTTTTCTTGCCCTGAAGTAAAATATTCAAACCAAGAAGCTATAAAGTAAAATATTGACAATATGACTATATTAAACATTTAAGACTCTATAGTGATCTACATATATAAAAAGTTAAGGGATAAGTAATAGAATAGGAAAATATTTGCCACACATCTGAAAAAGGGTTAATAGTTTTTTCTTTTTTTTTAGGGAAAAAAATTCTACAAACTTTTAATCAATAAATGGATAAAGAATACCAAAAAGTCATTTAAAGCTTTTTCAAAAAAATAGATAGGCAAGAAATGTACAAAGACTGGTTTAGTTTCAACAAATAATAAGGAAACAATTAAAGTAACACATCATTGTCATAATCAGATTAATATGTATTAAAAATATTGGTAATATC